CGACGACGAGATGCCGTGCGACGACGTGTGGCACTGCGTCTGGAGGCGCACCTTGATCGTATCGAGCGGATGGCCCGCGACGATGCCGGCGACACCGCCGACCGTGCCGGCGTTGAGGTCCTTGGCGATTTCGAGCCACTCCATGCTGGTACTTGTCGAGATGAAAGAGAGAGAGAGAGTTGGGTCTTGGTAGTTGGTCGTGCGTCTCTAACCGTAGTCGTACACGCAGTAGCAGTCGCCGTTCGAGTTCCCACCGCAGCGGAAGCCTGGCATACAACGAGGAGGCGAAGGGCAAAGTCGGTGGTCGATACAAAAGCAGTAAAAAGGACTGCTTGAGCTCGAGCGCCGAAATTGAAATTTGAGCTCCAAGGTCCGCGCTCGCCTTTTAATGAACGTTTTATTCGCACTTGGTGTTTGTATAAAAGGAGACTCTTTTTATAAAACGCCGACCATCGGCGCCACGCCCGGTTTGTACCCTGAATAAAAAATTGCATGGTTGACAGCGAAAATGTATACGGAATAAAACATCACATTATATTGTTTGCTTGAAGTTGCGGCATGTGAAATGTCGCGCGGATCTTTTTTTCTAGAAAATCTTATTCTATCTTGATGTTTGTATGATGTTGCGACCTCTTTTTAATGGGCACTGCGTTCTTTCGAATACGTGAGAAATGCAATGATGTGGGAAATAGGTGGGAAATGTCAACCAGGTGATCGCGGGATCGACCACCGACCAGAAGAGGATGCCAATCTATGGTGGTTGGCCAACGCAGTCGACGTACTAGTAGGTATGATCGAGAGATTGGCCAAGGGAGTCGCAAGTCTTTCAGAGCGCGTTGGAGTGGACCAGTGATAACAGCACGAGCTGGTGCTTGTGGGTGCTACACCCGAATAGTACCTGTTGCCACGCACGCAACACAGCAACACCATTATTTCAAGCACCGAGGCGCCAATGGATCCCAGGACGTGTCTCGGCTCCATATTCGTCAAGCCAACAGGCTGCAGCGAAGGCTGATCAGAAGGAGGCAAAAAGCTAGGTATTTGGATCGTTGCGGAGAAATCTGGGCCTGAATGATCTTGTGGCGGTGGCCACATGCGCGTGTGTGGGGCTGGGTCGTGTTTGGGACACGGCTGCCGACCAATTCGGAGGCGCCAACCCACTGGCGCCAACCAATCATTCGTGGCAAAGCCTTTGCACGTTTTTCACGTGTGAAATGCTGGAAAACCACGTCTGGGAGAGGCAACATGGCAACGTGGCAGTCGGAGAGCGCAGTGTAAGAGGAACAGACATCGATAGATACTGGCTACTTGCATGGCTGCAAGATTTTGGCCGCCGTTGTCATGGGCAATCAATCGTACGAGGCTGTTGGTCGAACCAATGTGGTCTACCTGTCGTTGCGACAGAGGACAGACGCATGAGAGGTTGGGCGCCTGCGAGTGGGGGCTGAGTGGCGAAGGATCTTCTCCATTTCACCTTGTATGGCAGGCGCCATTGCATGTGCGGGGCTTTACACTGTAGCGTACGGCAAGAACACGAGATCCTCTGGCACGGAAGCACACTCAAATCCGAGCAGCGCCGTGCATGAAGTCTGCTTGTTGCCATCACAAGCACGAGCACGCTACCCGAGCAGCCTGCGCTACGTCGGCTTCTCCGGCTCCTCGCCCAACACGAGTGGCCGCGATGTCACCTTGTCCCGCGGATCGCACTCGTGCCTCCGCCTGCCTAAATCAAGTTCCTCCACCGAGTACACACAACGAAGAAAGTCCGACATTTTTATTTAGCATAGTTTTATCTATTGTAATAGACGACCTACTTCAACAACAACAAGCACGAGCACGCCATTGTTCTTGCGTGGGATTCGAGGCTGCTACAACGATGAGTTGTGAGATTGCCCTTTCTATTCTAGTGCGAGGATGGTGCGCCATACCGCGACGTTACGTACTTGTTGAAGGGGGTCCATTTGGATTTGAGCTTACTTTACATGAATCTGTTCCTCGTGGTGGTCTCTCGACTGTGAGCACGGGCGACTGACGGCGGCGGCGACGCATCGCCGTTGTGAGGGGCTAACATGGCACGGTCACGGCGTACAACACTGTCTCGGACCAAATACAACATTTGATCCGATCGCGCACACATTGCGACGCTTGAATCTCGTCCGTGTCGCTGCAATACAAGAAGGACTCCTTGCTGCCCATTCTCGCAGGCTGCTTTGGTGTTGCTGCAGCTCTGGGACTCGACCGGATCAGATACGGGCATGACACACACTTGCGGCTACTCGATGCCGAACGCGCTGACACAGTACGTACCCCTTGCGCCATGGCTATACTAATACGACAAGCATCCCAGTGCGTGACTTCACTCGACGCATTTCTCTCCTTCCTTGAAAAAGGCGGCATGACATTGCACTTGCACACCCACTGTTTGCTTCATACACTGTCCAGACACTGTATCCAAGACCGAGGTCGGTCGGCACGCCGCAAGGACCCTGCGACGGCTGCCAACTAACAGTTCTGCCTTTGCTACTGCTTGGAGGAGACCGCGATGCATATCTCGTGTGCCTCCAGTAATCGTACTATCTCGCGCTGCCCGGGACGTGACGGTCGCGCCACTGCAATCGGGCGACGAGACCGGCTCTATGTCCCACCCGTACGCGCCTTTATCCCGACGCCGTGACGGCCCGATTGTAACGCCGCAGTGGCCGACATGCCAGCCAACACGACGACGACCTACGTCTCGCTCCGCGACGGCGCGGCGCTGAGCGGAAGCTCCAACGGTGGCACGGTAGCACGATGACGTGGCAGCTCATGCGTCTTCTGTAGGCATCTACATGGCGATTGGCATTGGCGTCGGGTGCGCCGTCGTGCTTCTCGTGCTCTCGTGGTACTTTTGCTGCCATCGGCCGTCCAAACAACAGTCCAATGCGCTGCTGACGGCCCGCGACGACTACTCGATGTACAAGGAGGCGTCGCTGCCCGCGTGCGACGCCACGGACACGGTGCCCTCGACCTTGTACGTGCGCAACAGCGAGTGCGACCTCGGGCCGCTACTGCCGTTCCGCCTTCCGGCCAAAGACGTCGAGTGCTGGCACGTGCTTGCGAGTGGCTCGCACGGCGAAGTCTACTTGGGCGAGTACCGCCACAGTACCGTTGCGATCAAGCAGCTCTACGACGGCCAAGCGAGTGCAGCCGACGTGCAGCACTTTGTCGACGAAATTGTGACCATGTCGAGGTATCTATTGTCTTTTTGAATATCGAGTCGACGATGATGTGGCTAGATTCGACCATCCACGCATCGTGTCGCTGGTCGGTGTCGTCTGGGACGCGCCGCCGGCCGCCTTGCGCCTGCGATGCGTCATGGAGTACATGGACCAAGGCAACCTTCAAGACTACTGCAGTAACTCGAACGACGCAAGCTTTCCGTACCGCCTCAAGGCGCGGGTCGCTCTGCAGATTGCCAACGCCCTCGCGTACATCCACGCGATCCCGATCGTCCATCGCGACCTCAAGTCCAAGAACGTTCTCGTCGACGGCAAGAAAGGCGCCAAAATCACCGATTTTGCATCGGCCAAGGCCATGCGTGAGAACGCATCGACCATGACGCAGGGCATTGGCACCTTTCGCTGGCTCGCGCCCGAGGTGCTCATGGAGTCGCGCTACTCGGCGCCCGCCGACGTCTACTCCCTCGGTGTGCTTCTTGCAGAAATGTCCATGTACAAGCGTCCGTACAGCGACCTTGTGGACGACCATGGCAAGCCGCTCAGCGAAGTCAAAATCCTGCAGCAAATCACGTCGTCGGGTCTGCGCCCGTCTTTTGCAAGCAACGCACCAACGTGGTATACCGAGTGGGCAACGGCGTGCATGGCGACCGAGCCCAGTGACCGTCCGACGGCCGCCGACGTGGCCAACCGCATCCAAGCCTTTCTTGGCGTAGCACCGCGTAGCACTCGCTAATCGTGTCGTGTATTACGAGCTTTTTGTTGTGGACGCGGTCTAGACCAAGGGTTTGGGTAGGACTAGGGTTACCAGGCGCAAATTGATGATGCGCGGGATGTCTTGCTCGTGCTCGTACCGGAGCTGTTTTAAGAGTCTTGACTTTCTAGGGCATGGGAGGCGGTGCGGACCGCCGAGGTCCAGAGTACGTACAGTACAATGCATGCAATGCATTCATGAGCACCGCCGCCCCCGTTTGCGACTATTCGTTGGTTGGATTTGCTGGAAATTGCATTGTTCGATTTGTCTAGCTAGTAAGTAGTAGAACTATCGTCACGCAGACAATTTGTGTACACGTACAAGTCCTAACTCGATGAGAAAAGCTACCAAAACTTCACCTTGCAGTATGCAGCAGGATGGTCAATTCAAATCCATGACCGAAACATTAAAATACATTTACAGAATCGGAACGGGATATTTGTAGGAACCATTGTACAATCGCTTTAAAATGTGGCTTTCTATTCCAATGACGCGAGTTTTGACCAATCATCGACGACCCCAGATTGCACCGGAGCGATGGCGAAGGACAAGCTCTCGGCGGCGCCGCTCGATGCGTACCGGAAGGAGCAGAAGAAGAAGGAGAAGAAGGCGGTCAAGGACCGGCGCGAGCACGTCAAGCAGACGACAGGCGACAACGTCGACATTGGCGCGCTCACGGAGAAGGTACTTTCGCCATGCCACGCGGCAAGCAACCACCCGCGTCGTAGCTCCGCAAGCTCGAGCGCGACGAAGAGAACAACCGCCTCGATGGCGCTGGGCGCAAGCGAAAAGACGAGGTATACGATGCAACTGGCGCGCGCCTCACGTGGCGAGCATAGCTGGAAGAGACGATCCGACAAGCCAAGAAGAAAAAGGCCGACGTACGTCCGTTGTCGCCGCTTGACCGACGAGGCTCACACGCTCCACCACGTAGCTTGAAGCCGAGGCCAAGGCGCGCGAAGCGGCGCTGCCCAAGGTAGGCCACGGTCCCTTGGCATCGATATCTATCTATCTGTGGCGTAGTCGAAGAAGGAGCTGGATGCGAGAAACAAGGAGCTGTACAAGAACCCCGAGCAGTCGATCCACTACCATCCGATCTTTAACCCGTACGGCGTCGCGCCGCCCGGCTACAGCGGCGGTGGCAGCCACCCGTTCACAAGTACGTCGTCGTCGGCATGCTCATGCAGAGCGATCGATGATGGTAGATGCGGCCATGCGCAACAACATTGCTGGACAGGTGCAAGCGTCCATATGTGTGCACATGCCCTCACGGCTCTGTGCATAGCCGCCGCTGCCGCTGGCACCGCGTCCTCGCATGAAGATCAAGAACCGCCCGCCGCTTCCGAAAGGGCCCCCCACCCTTTCGTCCGCCGCCGCCGCCGCCGTCGGGCATGGCCCCATCACCGGTACGCGCCGCCTCGCTTCCTTGTGGGTACGAACGTTGCGACGTATTAGATGGCCGCGCCAGTGATTATGCCCCACCCCCCGTGGGCAT